CCAAATTTTCTTTTTCAAGCTTTGCAAGTTTCTACGAAGCCCAATCACATGGATTTTCGTTTTTGACGGTCCGAATCGCCCTACCATCAAGCGGGGTAAGGTCGTAAATGGCTCAACCACACCGTCGTGGGTTGGCCCATGCAAAACCCTCATTGAGTGCTTCGGATTCCATGTTCATCAGGCAAGTGCCGCACGTCTGGTTGATGAGATTCTTCTTGAACTGTATCAGGCTCCTGGAGAGGCAGAAGCCAAGCTCGCAAAACTAAGCTCTCAAGGAATTATTGACCTAATCTTTACTACAGATGGCGATGCCTTTGTATTTGGAGGTTTATGTGTGTTGCGAAGGTATGATGACTCTTTAATTTGCTTCACCATGATTGTAACGCATCTCATTTAGCACATCCATAAAAAATAAAGCAACTGAAGACCTGGACGAGATCAGCCTCTACACTGCAGACGCTATTGAAGGAACTGAGGGGTTGACGCTTGGCGGACTCCTGCTGTTCACCTTGCTAAGTGGCGGTGATTATGCAGCAGGGTTGGAAGGTTGTGGGGAGCTCACCGCTCACGGGCTCGCCAAATGTGGCTTTGGAGACGAGCTTCTCACAGCCTTAAACACCTTGGATGATGAAAATCTAACTGAATTTTTGGAAGCCTGGGTAGCCGGTATCCGCGACGAACTGGTTTCAAATAGCCAGGGCTTCCTTCCATCACGTCGACCAGGACTTGCAGCTACCATTCCTCCTGAATTCCCCCCCTTGAACGTTATCAATTTTTACATCCGACCTGAAACGAGCAAATCATTCCCATTCAGCCTGGATTGAAAACCTCGCGAGATTCGCATCAACAAGCTTGCATCATTTGGAGCTAAATACCTTGGTTGGACCGATGCAACCGCTCTTTTTAAAACATTCCATTCAAATGTTTGGGAGGGTGTATTTCTGCAAATGCTTATTTCTGTAAGAAGTGTCGTTTCTCATTCAAGCCCCAAAAACTGAATTTTCTTTTCTTCACAGCACTGGGTACTCTATGATGCAAACATGCATATCATGCGAACGGATAACATGAATACCACGATCATGGAACTTCAACCGAAGCAGCGCCAGACCCGACGCAAGTCGGATATTAGTTCTTGGTATCGTGTTAGGATTTCAACCGGCAACTTTGTTGAGTTAATGGGCTTCCGTTACAAAATAGAGGGAGAAACCACACTCAAGGTTTGGGTTCCAACTGCTCTATTGCCAGACAATGTAGTTCCTGTGACTTTGAAAAAAGGCAAAGAAAAAAGGACAGTCAAACAGCATGGTGCAAAGTTGGACGCACCCAGGATGGATGCTATTCGACCCACAGGGGACGGTGGGGAGTCTCCAATTGTTGACCTTCCCCTATTCCTGCCAGTCCCTTTACCTCCCCGAGTGCCAACCGAGCCGCCCAAGCGTTCCTTGGTTCTGAACATGCTCGACTTCAAGGAACGAAAAGATGAGCCACCTATGAACCCAATCATTGACCTCACAAGCGAGGACTCGAGCAGACTCAAAACAGGATCCAGCTGCTACCACATCTTCCCTCCTGTCATCGACCTCACTGTTGAGGACTCGAGTGCACATGCTGAATCCTCTGCAATGGCTGTTCAGCGCAGCAACCGCAAGGGTACTGATTCCGGTGGTAATTCGGACATTATCTACATCAGTGACTAAAGAAATCAAGCCGGCAATTGTTACCTCAGGCTACAGTATGTTAAACACATGTACAAAAGCATGTATGAAGTATAATCAACAGAGAGTTTACGACAGCTTAGGAAGTTTAAACACTGAAGAAAACGCACTGCACAGTCCTCGTTGGGTCTGGAATGTACTTAGGTGAATCCAAGAAGCAATTCTTGGAGTACAGCTAATTATTGAAAGGAATACATATACAGCATAATAAAATACTGATCCCTTTCAGGTTTTAACTTGCCATTCCTTCCCAAACATCCCAACACTAAAATTCCAACGTTCCAAACGTCAAGAAGCCTTGGTGAGCATGAGGAGCAGGGGATGCGGTTGCTTGGGCGGAGGAACCAGGAGGCAGTGAGTGGTCACATCGAAAAGCGGACGAGTTGA